GTGTTAATTATTGAAACTGTCCTACAGATTTGATTTGCAACTGTCTCATTGCTATTTGTTTATCAATAAAATTATGAGAAAAAAAGATTATGACACAGCATTTAAAAAAATTCTTTATGCATTCATAGCCGCAATTCTATAAAGAAAACTGTTCCTTTATAAACTACTTGGTTTATTTGAAATAAAGTTTTGCAGGAAAATCATATTTCTCTAAAGAATTTTCAGAATTGGTTACCTAGCAATCTCCAAAGATGGTCAATGAGTTAATGGCTTTTTTAATATTAGAAACTCATCACTTTTGTTTATGTATTTGCTGTGTTTTAATCCACAGCAGGCATTATTCTTTTTGATATTCAGATAATTCTATTGTATGCCTGATAGAGGCTTCATAGCCTTTTTTGTTTCCTGGTTTATTTATTTATTTACTTGTTATGCTTGTAAAATTCTAAGGTATGTACAAGTCAATCCCATTCCTCTCATTTGACTCTAATCTCTCAGCCATTAGAAGAAATCTGCAACCTATCTTGTGCAATAAAGCGACTTTTAATTACAAACTTTAATAAAGTTGTTCAATGAAAATCCAATCTGCAAGTCCAGGCTTGAAATCTTGAGTATTACATTAACTCCTTAGAAGAGGAAAGGAACAGAATAATCATGCATAAAAAATAAATAGCAATTAATTCAATATGAAAAGGAAACTTCAGATTTTAACTCAGCTTATAATTTTCTAAAGTAAAAGATAGTTACAAATAGTTTTTCTAAAGTGGGTATGGTTTTATTCTCTGAAATAACAACTGGGAAAAACCAGAAAATGAAAGAAGGATCCTGGAACTTACCTTCTTGAAGTCCTCTTTTCCTCCAGAACTAGCAATCCTTAGACCTTCATTAACACTACGTTTTGTTTGCTGGTATGTTTGTTTAGATGACAATAAATAGTTAAATAGAAGCACCTCCAATTAGATGCCCAAACCAGAATTCAACAAGATTTCTTGGATGTCTCCTTGCTACTTTGGCAACTACAGATCTTACTAAAAACCCCTCTAACCATTGTCCTCCCTTCCTCTGTGTAACTAGTATTATTTAGACTTTGGTTGAACTGAACAAGGTTGGTGGTCTCCTAAATATATCCAGTTTTTACAGTTTAGTTTGAAAATGCCTCTCCAAAAGATCTTTCCAAAAATTGATAATCTCATGGTCCTTGATTAAAATCCTTCCTTAAGTAATTAGTTCCTTGTTGCCTTTAGAAAAAAAATTAACTGGAAAGTAATACTCTTTATGATCTGGCCTCTATTTAACTTCTGTCTTCCTATTTGTTGCCCCTATGTCATCTCTATGGGACTAGGCCCCCATCCAGTCCCATACTGACATTGTTCAATACCAAAACATGGCAAAACTCTTACCACAGTATTATCTAAGGCCTCTGTATGTCAGTGAGATATCCTCTCTACTTACAACTTTCTCTTTCTTCAATTGTTGGCAAAGATCCACCCTTCAGAAGTGAGCTCGGAGCCACCATCGTGGCTCACGATTGTCCATAGTCCCATCATTCTGGGAGGCGGTGGCAGGAGGTTTGAAAGTAGAAGCCCTGACTGGCCAATACAAAGACAAACAGCTTGCCCAAAATTTAAAAAACACATTTACTAAGGGCTTGTTGTGAAGCTCCATGTGAAAACCCCAGGTTCAGTTTGCTGAAACAGGGAGAGTGGAGTCAGCTCTGATCTCACCTCCTCTGAGAAGCCTTACCTGATCTCTCCCACACCCAGAGTATATGAGATGCTTCTACAACACATAAGAGTCCATGGAAGACTTATTACCACAGCCATCCCTACGCCCTGTGACATATGCTACCTCCCACGAGTATCCTCACATATTTATCTTTACCCTTGGCATCTACATCATGCTTGAGCATATAAGCTGTAGTAAAGATTTGCTGAGAGAATATTAAATAATCTTAAACTAACAATTTCAAAAAAAATTTCCAAGTGATTGTAGACATTTATCTGTATTTCCAACAAAAACATAACTGAGTTTCCTGTTCTACTAAAACACTGTGGTGGGTCTTTAGTAGTATCTAATTGCAATTTTTAAATAACTCTTTAATATGCTAATGATTCAATGTTAAGCAGAGCTTTTTTTTTTTGCTTTAAAGTCATTTTATTTTATTTTCTCATATTTTTCAAAAAAATAAAAATAAATAAATTTTCCTGCCAAATAGGTCAGCAGATTAAAGTGCTGGCAAGCAGGCTCGGGCCGGGAGTTTGATTCCCCGGCATGCTGTGCCAACCCCACCGCTGGAGCGCACTGAGATGGCAATTGAGACTGGGAGTGGTGGCGTGTGCCTGTAATCCCAGCTCTTGGGAGGCTGTAAACAGGCAGATCACTGGGAGTCTAATCTAGTAGTGAGACCCAACACCCTGTAGACCCTTCCCTAAAGTAAAACAAACAAAGAAAAAAAAACCCATTTGTTAATATTTCTTTTTTTTAAATATTTCTTAAAACAACGAATGCAAAAGTACTGCATTTAAAGTTTTTCAAGGAACAGTATATAAACTAATGAGTCTGGAATAAGATGCTGAATTGTAATCAAGATCTTGTAATCAGAACCAGAATTAATCTCATCAGTTGTTCTCAAATTTGAGTATTTATATGATAAGCTAATATGCTTGTTCAAATTATACCTCTTGGGTTGCAGTTCCAGAAATTCTCATTTAATAGTTTGGAAGTTAGGCCCTAACACCTATATCTTAAAATAAGTATCCCCAATATTTTTTCCCTTATTAATACAATGTTTATTTATCTTCCCTGTCAAGCCCTGAGCCAGTCACTTTCCCCAGGCAGCCCAGGGAAGTATATGGGAAGGAACACATAGGGCAGACAAGACACAGGAGAAAGAACTATGTGAGGTGGACAAGGCTCCTTGACATGGCGAAGATGAGAAAGGCCACCATCAGGCAGAAGAGCCCCAAGGCCTTCGAGAGGGCAAAGCCCAAAATGACATAGAAGAGCTGCTGCTGCAGAGAAGGGTTCCTGGCATAACCAATGATTAGGCTTCCAAACACAGTCCCGATCCCAGTGCCAGAGCCAGCCATCCCAACTGTGGCAGGCCCAGTGCCAATAAACTTGGCTGCTGTGGCAATGTCCCTTGAAATGATACTGGTTTGGAAGCTGCGGCTAGGGACAAGTGACGTCAGGGGACAAGGGACTGCAAAGCTGCTGAGGCTCTCTTCTGTTGGTGTCTTTGGTCTGTTCAGCACTACTGTACACAGTGGTCAGCTCTGCAGCTGGGAGGTGCTCCTGACCAACGACGGGGTGGACAGTGGCAGGAGAGCTGCTCCCAGGGCAGACAATGGAGTCCCAAATGATTCTGATGTGGTCCGTAGAAAGAGAAACACTGTTTATAGAGGATTTTATACTACAAAGTAATTTATGAGACTACCTATTTGCTGTACTATTTGGTAGTGTGAAAACTGTTTTTGTTTTTGTTTTCTATTTTGTGTGAAAATTAAGCCTGCTTCAAGAATTTCAGACAGACTTTGCAAACTTAAGAGTAGTCACAGGGAAACACTCTGGTAAAAAGAGCATTAGTCTCACTTTTAGAAGTAGAACTGAGGTTTATTTATGCTATCTGAAGCAAACCCAACATCTCTGAATTTCCATTTCTCAAACAGAACGAGTATTAAACCTATCCTACTAACCTTACAAATCTGTGTAAGGTTCAAAATGAGTGTGACAACATGCTAAGACAAAGTAAGACCTAACCATCACTGCCTGCCTGCCTGTCTGTTCTTTCTTTCCTTCCTTCCTTCCTTCCTCTTTCTTTCTTTTTCATTCTCTCTTTTTTCCTCTTTGTGAGACAGGGTTTCACTATATAGTTCAGGCTGGCCTTGAACTCACCACAATCCTCCTGCCTCAGTCTCCCTAACACTATGATTACAGCATGTGTCACAATGCTTGGCTAACATTGCTAGCCTTGATCACTATGTTTTTGACTGACATATTTGCCTGAACTGAAGAAACAATTTTTAGCTTCAAGGACATCTTTTTCTTTGAATAATCTCTGCAGATTTCTACTAATGGACAGTTAGACTTCTAATAACAGAACTCCTTCATATTACAATTTAGACAACAGGTAAGGAAAACCTATGAGCAACATGATCAAGGTTACAAAATTTTAGTAATTGACAGTGAAAACCAGGTTTTAAGCCTTTTGATTATTAATCTAGGTCATTTCCCACCATATTTCATTCAGTTGTCTTTCTCATTCTTCCTTATAATCCACAAGTTATGTGATCTGGCACACACTTAAGTTTGAGTACCACGATCCTACTGCATTAGCTATAGTATTGGGGTGGAAATCACTGTTGTCACTTATTTTATAAACAGCTTTATCATGGTATTATTCACATACCAAAAATTCACTAATTTAAATTGCATAATACAATGGCTTTTAGTATATCATGGACGTGTGCAACCATTATCAGAATCAACTATACATTTTCATAGCTCAAAAAAAAAACAAAAAAATCCAGCTGACAGCAGTCACGCTCCATCTTTCTCTGCCTTCAGCCTCTGGCAACCACTAATTTTGTTTGGCATAGTCTATACCTTTCATATGAATGGACTCATACAATATGTGATCTCTGTGACTGCTTTCTTTCACTTAGCATGTTCTCCATATGTACTTACCGTTTTATAATTATCAGAGGAACACCAATATAGTTCAGAAATAAAAAAAATTATTCCACTTTAATATAAAAAATTAACATTTTATTCTTGCAAGCTCTTTCTCCCCCTCAGCAAATGCATTTTTATCTGACCGGAAAACAAAGAGAAACTGCCCTTTACCTGTACTCAGCTCAGACCACCCTGAGAACCAAGCGCCCCGCCTCCCAGCGCGCAGATGCGCTCTTGGCTGCAGGGAGAAGCGGCCCCGCCCATCCCCGCTGGCGCCTTGCTTACGTCACTGCTTCGAGCCCACGTTCCTCGCAGTCCCTCCTTCCCGGTCGCGCTAACTTTGACAGGGAACGATGGCGGCGACGGGTTCTGCAGGGTTACCGGCAACCGTGTCGGAAAAGCAAGAGTTTTACCAGCTTCTGAAGAACCTGATAAACCCAAGCTGTATGGTGCGGAGGCAAGCAGAGGAAATCTATGAAAACATACCAGGTCTGTGTAAGACTACATTCCTCTTAGATGCCGTCAGAAACAGAAGAGTAGGTTATGAGGTGAGGCAAATGGCTGCCGCGCTGCTACGACGGCTTTTGTCCTCTGGGTTTGAGGAGGTCTATCCAAATCTGCCTTTCGATGTTCAGAGGGATGTCAAGATTGAACTGATACTGGCTGTTAAGTTAGAAACACATGCTAGCATGAGGAAGAAGCTTTGTGATATTTTTGCTGTGCTGGCTAGGAATTTGATAGATGAGAATGGCACTAACCATTGGCCAGAAGGTCTGAAGTTCCTTATTGATTCAATCCACTCTAAAAATGTAGTTCTGTGGGAAGTTGCACTTCATGTGTTTTGGCACTTTCCTGGGATTTTTGGGAACCAAGACCGACACGATTTGGATATCATCAAAAGGTTGTTGGACCAATGTATTCAAGATCAAGAACATCCAGCAATCAGGACATTATCTGCTAGAGCTGCAGCCGCATTTGTACTTGCTAATGAGAATAATATTGCACTTTTCAAAGACTTTTCAGACTTGCTTCCAGGAATCTTACAGGCTGTGAATGACTCATGCTACCAGGATGATGATTCCGTACTAGAGTCCCTTGTTGAGATTGCAGATACCGTACCTAAGTACTTGGGTCCTTATTTAGAAGATACTCTACAGTTGAGCCTGAAGTTATGTGGAGACTCTAGACTTAGTAATCTGCAACGCCAGCTGGCTCTTGAAGTAATAGTGACCTTATCTGAAACTGCAACACCAATGTTGAAAAAGCATACAAATATTATTGCACAGGCTGTTCCTCATATATTAGCAATGATGGTTGAGCTACAAGATGATGAGGACTGGGTAAATGCTGATGAAATGGAAGAAGATGATTTTGACAGTAATGCAGTTGCTGCTGAGAGTGCACTAGACAGACTGGCTTGTGGGCTTGGTGGAAAAATTGTCTTACCAATGACCAAAGAGCATATCATGCAGATGCTTCAGAGCCCTGACTGGAAATGTCGACATGCTGGATTAATGGCCTTATCTGCCATTGGAGAAGGCTGCCATCAGCAAATGGAACCAATTCTAGATGAAACAGTTAACTCTGTTTTGCTTTTTCTTCAGGATCCTCACCCAAGGGTAAGGGCTGCAGCCTGTACTACTCTTGGACAGATGGCTACAGATTTTGCACCTAGTTTCCAAAAGAAATTCCATGAAACAGTGATTGCAGCTTTGTTGCGTACTATGGAAAATCAAGGTAATCAGCGTGTGCAATCTCATGCAGCTTCTGCCCTTATTATTTTTATTGAAGACTGTCCTAAATCATTGCTAGTTCTATATTTGGATAGTATGGTGAAAAATCTGCATTCCATTTTGGTGATTAAACTTCAAGAGTTGATTCGGAATGGAACCAAGTTGGCCTTGGAACAACTTGTGACAACGATTGCCTCAGTTGCAGATACCATAGAAGAAAAATTTATTCCATATTATGATACATTTATGCCCTCACTAAAACATATTGTTGAGCTTGCTGCTCAGAAGGAGCTCAAGCCTCTGAGGGGAAAGACTATTGAGTGCATTAGCCATGTTGGTCTTGCTGTTGGAAAGGAAAAATTTATGGAAGATATATCAAATGTGATGCAGCTGTTGCTGAAGGCACAGTCAGACTTAAATAATATGGAAGATGATGATCCTCAGACATCTTACTTGGTTTCAGCATGGGCTAGAATGTGTAAAATTCTTGGAAAAGATTTTCAACAGTACCTCCCATTAGTTATTGAGCCTCTTATTAAGACTGCCTCAGCTAAACCTGATGTGGCTCTCTTAGACACACAAGACGTGGAAAATATGAGTGATGATGATGGTTGGCAATTTGTAAATCTTGGAGACCAGCAAAGTTTTGGAATTAAAACTTCAGGACTTGAAGCAAAAGCAACTGCTTGCCAGATGTTGGTTTACTATGCCAAGGAATTAAGAGAAGGATTTATAGAATATACAGAACAAGTTGTTAAACTGATGATTCCTTTACTGAAATTTTATTTCCATGACAATGTTCGAGTAGCAGCAGCAGAATCCATGCCTTTTCTCCTGGAATGTGCAAGAAGTCGTGGCCCAGAGTATATTTCACAGATGTGGAAGTGTATATGTGATCCTTTAATCAAGGCAATTGGGACTGAGCCTGATACAGATGTACTTTCAGAAATAATGAATTCATTTGCAAAATCCATTGAGGTAATGGGAGATGGTTGCCTTAATGATGAACACTTGGAAGAACTGGGAGGAATATTGAAAGCAAAACTTGAAGGACACTTTAAAAACCAAGAATTACGACAGGTTAAAAGACAAGAAGAGAACTATGACCAACAGGTTGAGATGTCTCTACAAGATGAAGATGAATGCGATGTTTATATTCTGACCAAAGTATCAGATATTTTGCACTCATTATTTAGTACTTATAAGGAGAAGATTTTACCATGGTTTGAACAGCTACTTCCATTAATTGTAAATCTAATTTGTTCAAGTAGGCCATGGCCAGACAGACAATGGGGATTGTGCATATTTGATGATATTATAGAGCACTGCAGTCCAACTTCATTTAAATATGTGGAATATTTTCGGTGGCCAATGCTACTAAATATGCGAGACAACAACCCTGAGGTCAGGCAAGCTGCTGCTTATGGTTTGGGTGTTATGGCACAGTTTGGTGGTGATGATTATCGTTCTTTATGTTCAGAAGCTGTTCCATTGTTGGTAAAAGTTATTAAGTGTGCAAATTCCAAAACCAAAAAAAATGTAATTGCTACAGAGAACTGCATCTCAGCAATAGGGAAGATTTTGAAGTTTAAGCCTAACTGTGTAAATGTAGATGAAGTTCTTCCACACTGGTTATCATGGCTTCCATTGCATGAAGATAAGGAGGAAGCTATTCAGACTTTGAGTTTTCTTTGTGACTTAATTGAAAGTAACCACCCAATTGTAATTGGTCCAAATAATTCAAATCTTCCCAAAATAGTCAGTATAATTGCAGAAGGAAAGATTAATGAGACTATTAACTGTGAAGATCCTTGTGCCAAACGTCTAGCTAATGTTGTTCGTCAGATAAAGACTTCTGAAGAGTTATGGTTGGAATGCATATCCCACCTTGATGATGAACAGCAGGAAGCTCTGCTGGAGTTGCTAAATTTTGCTTAAACCACTTTTAATATTACTTGACTATAATCTATTATAAAATAGCTACGAATAAATGTTGTAAATGTATTCCATTATAAGTAGACCTTTCTGCCAAGCAGTTTATATTTTTCTCCCATGTTTCTCCAGGATTAGTGTTACAGTCTTCTGTTTATTTTGCATGTTTTATCTCTTAAATGTAGACTTTGGTGATAATCTGTGCTTCCAGTTGTCTTAGAATGTTTTTCACCTTTTCTGTTTGGTTTGAAGTATATAATTGTTGCTATTTGTCTGAACTATAAATGCTGGTCAAGCAGTATACTGTACTTGGTGCCAAGATGCTATGCTATCACAAGAAGCTAAGGCTTACAAAGATAAGGGAGAACTTTCAAGACAAAGATCTTTGGAATGAAGGGTAAGAGATATAGGGTAGGTTTATTCCTCCTTTATTCTACTGCTGGTTTTTATGGTAATAGACAGATGCAGTAACTGGGAGAATTTTAAGATATTGTTGTAAATGTAGGCATTTTCCTTATAATAAATATATATGGATGTTTTCATAGTATACTCCAGAGAACTGGGTGAAATATCCATTCTAGTTTCTAAGATAGTCTTCTGAGACTTTTGACTACTTTTAAACCTCCTTAACCAAACTAGTCTCCATGTGTGTGCATACCCAGAATTTTAAGAACCATTCTTTTTTTTTTCTTTTTATGAGCAGAATATATTTATTGAGAGAAAAAAAGCTCCTGTCCAAGAGAGGGACAGGAGGGGGGCCCGAGCGGATAGTTCCCCTGATTAAGAACCATTCTTAATGAAAAGAAAGTTCAGGTACATCTAACACTGGTAGCATGTAAGGTACTATAATACATTGTTTGACAATAGGAATCAATATTTATGGGAGTCAGTGTTAAATGTTTCAACAGAGTATTCCTTTATGTAGATATACCATTTTACCCCTGTAAAAGAGCTCAACAAGAATGAACTGCATTCAGAATGCAGCTGAAACAAATTTTTATTTTAAAGACACAAACATTCTATGGTAGTACTGAAGGGTATACTTTTGTTAAAATGAAACAAACTCAATTTTATATTTAAATATTAAAATAGCTTTGAGACTAGTCTTTGTCAGCATATGTTTATTATAAGAAAACAGTTCTACAAATCTAGGGTTAGTTATATTGATTAGAATGTCAGTCTTTAGTGTTGAGCTTCTTGTAGTGTAGTAAAAGGTTTCTACTCACCAAATCATGAATCCAACAGTCAAATACTATACATCTATCATGACTTCCTGAGGCTACTGTGAGTACTGTATATTGTATTTAACAAATAGTTAAGACCTAGTAAGAGCTAAATAAATAATCAGTGTTACTGCATTTGTACCTGTAGTGTATTCTTTCAATAGTTTATAATTCCTTATATGTTAGGATTTCCCCAATTCAGATGGCAGGCCATTTAGGTCATTGTGGATAGAGGTTAAAAGTGTGAGGTCTTACATATGCAATGTCTGTTACATATAATTATTTATTGTTAATTGTGGAGGGGAGAAAGTTAAGGACATTATGTATAGTGCAGTCACAATTTTATTTAAAATATAGGTGAATAAATTAAAAAACACCATCTCAAAGTTTTAACAGATTTTGTCTTAAGTGGTGGGATTAAATGTTTGTTTGTTTTTGCAGTACCGGGGATTGAACTCAGGATCTTACACTTGAGAGGCATGTGCTTATTCTACTGAGCTATCTCCCGAGCCTCTTATAACATATGATGTGTCTGTTATCTTTTTTCTTTTGGTACTGGAGATTAAACTCAGGACCCTGCACTTGCCAGGCAAGCACTTATGCCACTGAGCTATCTCGCCTGTCTGGTAGGATTAAATGTTAAATGGCAGGAATTTTTTCTCACTTATCTATATATTTTTTATGTTTTAAAGAAAGACTACAAAGTAATCTTTAAAACATTTTCTAATTTACCTACAATCAACATATTTCTGTATAAGTGTTGTTTCATTCAACCATATTGTCCTTCCATAATAGCTAAGATTGCTATCATTATAACTTTACATGAACTAGAATTGAAGCTCCTTCTACTAACTTCTACATTAAGAAACCCTAATCAACATGTCTAGCAGCTCTATGCACTCTTGTGTTTGAAGAATTATAAATTCTGCCAGATGGCTTGGAATTAAGCATCTGGAATTGTTGAAGTATGACAGACCTAGTTGTGAATTTTGGCAAAGTACTTTTTTTATTTTTAATCTTTTATTTGTTTATTTATTTATTTGGTACAGGGTCTCCCTATGTGGCTTGGACTCATAGTGATTCTGCTGTCTCAGCCTCTCCAGTGCTGGGATTACAGGCGTGTGCCAGTACAGCTGGTTTCAGTGGCTGGTATGGTGATAGCGGGGATTGAACCAGGGTCCTTGCACTTGCCAGGCAGGCACTCAGACCGCTGAGGTATCTCCCCAGGCCCACAAAGTATGTTCTTAACCTGTGTTATCTTTTCCATCTACAAAATGAAGATAAATTTATGTTGTGAGAATTAAAGGAGATAATGAACATAAAGTGCTTAGTGGCACAAAGTTCAATAAATGGAAGCTATTATTAGAGTCATGAAATAGGGCTGCTGGATAAAAATAAGGGGATATATTTGCTCAGGTAGCTTGGGGTTCAGATTCCTGGGGTTTGTCAAGAATGTCCAGTAAGACGCACAGTTGTTTTGTCAGTTGCTGAAATAGGTTGGTTCTCTGCTCTTTTTTTCCCCATGAGAAGTAAATCTGCAACATGAGGAAAAAAAATCTAGTAAATGTTTTCTAAATTACAAATGTCTTAAATAGTGAGAGAAGACTGAATATCAGAAAAGGAGTGTGTGTGTAGGAGTCCTCTGGGGTTGTTTCCATTTGCCTAACAACTGATATCTACTTACGGGATCCCCGCATACACACAAACCTTTTAGGTTTTGAATTTTAACAGTTATTCACATGTCACAGTAATGACAAACTTCAAGATCTATCTTGACCATTAACTTAAATTTTATTTTTAAAATACATGGTTTATTGTTTGGGGTTTCTTGCTTTACACAACTAACGAGGAAAGAAAATGGGCGTCTTCCAAGTAGATCATCAAAAGTATTATCTGGTTTACTGGATCATAACTTCGTCCCAAAACCCTTAAAGCACATGTAAATTATTTAGTCATTTAAACAGTAATCTTAAAATGTGTCGTACGATTGCAAAACCATACCAATGACTATGTAATGTACAGCTGAAACTTAAAATGTTTGGGAATGTTACCCTGAAGGGTTTTTTTTAAAGCGAAGTTCCATTTCCTTCATTTGTAAAGAACTCAAGGATATAACAGAAAATACGAGATTGATTTCCAAAAATTTCTGAATTGATATTAAGAACTGGGAACAGGAATTTCAAGACTTAGAGGTCTACAAATCACCTCCTTTTCCTTTATATGTGAATATACAATTAAATCCTTCAACTTTCACATCTAAATTCGCAAAATTCCGGCAAACACATGGGAAGAGGGATGCCAAAGGTGTAAATTTTACAAGGGAGAGCGTTTACGTTTTGTGCCTTCTACTTATTAACAAGATTACCTAGCAGTGTCTTTTATAGTAAATTATTTTTTAGGACTGGCAAAAGTCTAGCAAATGAACCATCCTTTTGCAGTACCCGTTATTAAAATTTCCTCTAGCTTCCTCGCCTAGAGATTACCCCGGCGCAGGCGCTCTACTCCCTCCCCGCCCCCTAGCACTTGTTCGCGGGCTGATGACATCATTAGTACGCGCAGCAAACCCTATCTCTTGGCCTGCGCTGGAGGCGAAGTCCTTGCTTTCGTACGGCGTAGCGGGACAGGGGCGGGCTTTGTTCTGCTGCGCATGCGCGCCGGTGATGGCGACTCTGCCTCTTTCTTTGCCTCTTTCCACAGCTCTCCCCTGCTGGGGGGACTGAGTGCCCTCCCCTTTCTCTCTGTCCCTCCCCTTCCCCCCTCCCCCTCCCGCCCGCCCAGCGGGCTTCTAACTGACAGTTGTCGCCGGGCCCCGTGCGTACGCCGCCTCCTCCTGCCCGGGTTCCCCGCAGGTAGAGAGGGGCGGGAGGGGGTGTGAGGGAAAGGAGGAGCCGGAGCCGCCGCGGCCCAGAGCAGCGGCCCACTCCAGGGAGGCGAAAGGAGAATCCCTCCTTCCTTATTCCTTGCCCCCTCCCAGCCCGCGCCGGCCCGGGAGGGGGTGGGGCGCCGAGGCTGCAGCGGCCGGGCCGGGCCTGACCGGTGGAAAGCGGCCGGCCGGCCGGGCGGGACGCGGAGGGAGAAGCCGGCCGGGGCCGCGCGCCGCCGGGGGGAGGGGAGAGGAGGGCACCTAGGCTCTCCTCTTCTCTCCCCCCTCCCCCGCGCCATGTAACCCCGCCCCGCCGCTGGCGAGCTCCAGACCCCCGCGCGCCGCGACCCGGCCGGTGGCTGTGGAGAGTGAGGCCCGATGCGGCAGGGGCTGCGCCGCGCGGCCGAGCCGTGAGGAAGCGGCCCGCTCGCGCGCCCCCCGGCGCCTCGAGCAGCCGTCCGCACCGCCCCGCCTGGGCCTGCCGGGGGCATGAGCGTGCCCGAGACGCCGGGGGAGATGGAGCCGGCCGGGGAGGAGGAGCGGCCGCCACCGGCGGCGGAGGAAGAGGACGAGGAGAAGGTGGCAGCGGGAGCCCCGGAGCCGGCCCCCGGGAGCAGCGCCTCCTCGCCGGAGGACGCGGACGAGCGGGAGGAGGCGGCGGAGGCGATGGTGGTCGCGGGCGGTGGCTGCAGGGAGCAGGAGCTGACCTATGAGCTGCAGCAGGGCTACCGCATCCTGGGCGAGTTCTTGCAGGAGAAGCACCGGGGCCTCACCGCCCCCTTCCTGCAGCCCTTGGGGGGCGTTGCCTCCGGGGAGGAGGAGGTAGCCGAGGGGCCGCGCGGCGTGGGCCGGGGCGGTCGCGCCCTCCCGCAGCAGCCGGGGCAGGGCATGTGTCTGTTGAAGATGGAGGAGAAGTTCGCCAGTGGCCAGTACGGGGGCATCACGGAGTTTGTGGCGGACTTCAGGGCAATGCTGGAAGCGTGCTACCGCCTGCACGGAGTGGACCACTGGGTCTCCAAGCAGGGCCAGAAGCTGGAGATGCTGCTGGAGCAGAAGTTGGCGCTTCTCTCCCGGTAAGCCAGCGGGTCCCGGTTGGGACTGACAGACAGACACAAACACACCCTCCCTCACACGTGTCCGAGGATGGGTGGGGCCAGGGCCGGGGGGCGGCGCTGATAGGTGCGGACTCCGAGCTGGGCGCCCCGGAGGAGGAGCGGTGCGGGCTTGGGGGTGTGGGCTTGCGCTCGCCCGCAGGGCCCAGCGGGAGCAACTAGGGTGTGGATGCCCCGGGGGTGGTGCCCGTGGGGACGGTGCCCGGCGGAGGCCGAGGGACGCTTGTGTGGGATGAAAGTGCAACCTGCAGCCTACACAAGGTTTTAGCAAGACGTGTAAGTTTTTGGAAAAAGAATTTTGGCTCTGGTAGAAAGGTGCTTTCAAACCAGTAGAAATGCCTTTTATCTTGTGTTACCCTCTTCAGCCACCACAGATTTATAGACTGTTAGGAGGTAATGATTACTGTGGCATACTCTTGAACTTTTCTGTTTCATTTGAGGATATATTTTTTGTAATAGCAAATGTACTAATACACGTTTTTAATAAGTTTAGACATTTGTGTAGTGGGGTTTTGTTTTGCTTTTTGTTTGTTGTGGTGCTGAGGAGTGGAACCCAGGTCTTTAGGCATGCAGGTTAAGCATTCTAGCCCTGAGCTACTTCTCCAGCCCTTAAACGTTTGTTTTTATTCTATCAGAAATGAAGGCAATTCAGATAGTGCTGTGCTTTTGATATATGCTGCCCATGTATCATATTTTCCAAGGAATAAACTAAAACACAAGAGGATACTAAAATATCATTTTATAATCATCATATAGCTGAAATAAGCCAAATTAATTTAAGTGTAAGTTCTTTTGGAATAGAAAATCAAATGAAGTGAAATAATTTGTTTACAAGCTAAGTGAAGTTAATCAAGCCACTTAACCTTTTAGGCCTCATTTTCCTCATCTTTAAAACAGATATCATAAAACCACCTGTCCCATTAAGTTCCTGTGAGGATTAAGTGAATTAAAGGAATGTAAAAATCACCAATGTTGATTACATAGCCCATTTTATTAGACCTAATAATAATAGTGGTAGTGTGGGGAGATAGCTCAGGAGAATAAGCGCTTACCTGGTAAGCACAAGGGCCTGAGTTCAATCCCCAGTTCCACCAAAAATAAATAATACTGGTAGTAGTTGAATGACCGTCTACCCCACATCTGAAAGTAGTTGTATGTTTCTATGGGATAGCTCCGTTAAAATTGTCTTATAATTTTTTTTTTTTTTTCTCAGTATCAGGAGTTGAATCCAGGGAGTACTGAGCTATATCCCCCTCTAATTTATTTAACTTATTTTTTTATTTTGAGAAAAAATCTCATAAATTACCCAGGCTGGTCCAGAATTTGCTATCATGAGTAACTGAAATTACAGGCATATCCTACCAAGACTGTCTTTATTATATAATTTTGAAATAATCTGATCTCAATTTGTCACTAGCTTCCCATGTACTATTTGCAAGATTGTCAGTGACTTGTTTCACTGAAATACTGATATAATGCATAATTCCATAGGGAAATTCTCTATAAGCA